GGGCGACCACTTTGCATGCGTCTTCCCCAAACCTTTTTCTAAGAAAGCAAACAACTCTATTTCCTGCACCCAGCCAAACGCCTAGAGAGTAAATACATTTAATATATGCATGCATGCATGCACATGCTACTGATAGGCTGTCGCACACGCATCTATCTAGCTAGCTACCTAGCTACCTAGCTAGCTAGCTAGCTGGCTGCCTACCTGTCTATCTAGCTAGCTAGCTGGCTATCTATCTATCTACCTAGCTAGCTACCTAGCTAGGAAGCTAGCTGGGAGGCAAGAGGATGCGTGTGTACGCGACGCTCGCATGCACCACCGCATGCATGCATGCATGCATGCACGCTGCATGCATGCACGCTGCATGCATGCATGCATGCAGTTGAAAGCCCCAAAAGGAGACTTGCCTGCCCAGGCCTGAGTTTAGTGATGAGAATATCGGGGTGTACAGGGGCTGGCGGCTCCGCTGCAAATTTCTGTCTCTGACGTTCTGATAGGGGTATCCAAGTCAAATCCCTCGCATACACTGCACACAAACCCTAAACCCTAAACCCTAAACCCTAAACCCTAAACCCTAAACAAAGCGCAAGCCGAGATATATAGAGATTTGCAATATACAGACGCTACGACACAAAAAACCGAAGTCGGAACCTTATAGAGCAAACCCTAAACCCTAAACCCTAAACCCTAAACCCTAAACCCTAAACCCTCGGCTGTTTGCTGACCTGGCATAGAGTTTTGATGGGGTTTGATGTCTGCTGGTGTGCATTTAACATGCAGTTTAAACTTTAATGAGTTTTCTTCGTTCAGATCTTGAGAAGGGTCTCTATATTTTAATTTATAGGGATCAACGCGAAACGGAATAAGGCCCAGGCGGTGCGCCAGCACTTCGTCTTGAATAACCCCCGTGTTCTGCCATATCTGATCACACAAACCCTAAACCCTAAACCCTAAACCCTAAACCCTAAACCCTAAACCCTAAACCCTAAGCCCTAAACCACAAACCCTAGACAACATGCAAGAAACAAACATCAGCAGGAAGCGGAAACTGTTGAACGGCAAAAGCTATATAGGACAGGACATCGTAATACACCCTAAACCCTAAACCCTAAGCCCTAAACCCTAAACCCCAAACCCTAAGTCACAATACCCAGTGAAAACAATCGCAAAGAAAGGAGTTTAGTCTTATATGCCTATATCGTGTTAAGGTTTAGGGGATAGCGCTGTTATTAGGGCAATTAGGGTTTAGGGTTTAGGGTTTAGGGTTTAGGGTTTAGGGTATACCTGAACGGTTTCTATGGCTGCGGTGGGCACTTCGCTGATAAGTATTCTTCTTATTGCATTGGCGAAGGAGACATCACATCCCTTTAATTCAAAAACAACCTTATCGTCCGCTGCATGCAGCACTTTAAGATAAAGTTTATTGTTAAACTCTTGTAAGCAAAAGGGCTCTGTCTGATGAGAAACAAAGAAACTCTCTCGAGGCCCGTCCACCGTACACTGCACTCTCTGTCCCTTTCGTTGATCTTCAGCCATTGCTAGCTTTAATCAGCAAACAAAAACAAAAAAAAACAAGGGTTTAGGGTTTAGGGTTTAGGGTTTAGGGTCTACGCCCTTTGTATAACAACAACCCCTTTTTTTAAGAACGCGGCAGAGTCTGGTATTCACGAGCTAGGGTTTAGGGTTTGGGGTTTCAAGGAAAGAGGAATAAAGAGACAGATCAGACTGTACAACGCTCTTGCCCGTAGACCGATTAGGGTTTAGGGTTTAGGGTTTAGGGTTTAGGGTTTGCAGCCGAGGGAGAAGAACCCCACAAACTGCGGAAGGGCAGACGAAGCATGAAAAAGCTTGAGCTTAGGGTTTACGGCTGCGGGTTGGAGGTTAAGAACCGAGGGTTTAGGGTTTAGGGTTTAGGGTTTAGGGTTTAGGAGTTCACTGGCAGCGCGGCCGAGCTGCCGCGGAGATGCAGAGATGCATCTGTAGAGAAGAAGAAACAAAAAGAAATAAAACAAAAAGGAAAAGAAAGAAAAATAAAAAGAAGTACATTAGAATCCTGCAAATACACAAAATAACAACTCACTCCTACCACGAGGCCGTGCGGGGCCCCAGTCGAAACCCTAAACCCTAAACCCTAAACCCTAAACCCTAAACTCTAAACCATAAACCCTAAACCCTGGATAATGCAAATAATTATTATTTATTTTGTGAATATACATCTTTAAATAACTAAATGTTTTTCTTTTGTTGACTTCCTCTCACCGTAGCTGTCGATACAGCCGAGCGAAACCAAAGGAAGAACTCAGAGAGAAAGCAGCTTAAAATAAAACTAAGTTTAATTTCTATAAAAGAGTTGATAAATTAATTAATTTATTATTTATAATTATAAACAACAAAAGAAAATAAATTTTTAAAGAAATAAACGCAAAAAGAAAATTTCAACGAAACAGAAAAACAGTCTAAAAAAAAATAAAGAAAAGCAAACATAAAAAATTATACTAATAAACAGACAGCAAGCAGACAGACAATTAAATATGTTTATTTTTATATGTTTATCTCCAAGCCTTCAACAGTATACACCTTATCTCATCCGTTTATAGGTAATAAAAATAATCTTTCCTTTTGTTAAAATACCCCCAGGGCAATTCAAATTATATATATATGTTATATAAACCTGTAAACTCATGCAGATATATATATATGTATTTACCTGTATTTATATATATATATAGAGAGAGAGATGCATAAATATAATGTACATATATATATATATATATATATATATTATATATATATAAGGCAAGAGGAAGAGACAGGAAGAGAGAAACAAATAGACATAGACAACAAAAAAAAACAAAAACAGAGACAGAGACAGAGACAAAGAGACAGAGACAAAGGCAAGACATACAGATAAACAGCAGCACGAAGACAGAAGGAGAGTTGCAGAAAATTTAAAGAGAGAGCAGACAGACAAATAAAAAGAGAGAGATAGGGACAAAGACAGAGAGAGAGAGAGAGAAAGAGAGAGAGAGAGAGAGAGAGAGAGAGAAAGACAGAGACAGAGAGAGATAGAGACAAAGACAGACAGAGAGAGAGAGACAGAGACAGAAAGCCCGTTTTCTTTTTATTTGTCTCTCTTTCTAATCACATCATATCTCTTTTTCTTCATTTCTCTCTTTCTTTCTTTTTCCGTCTCTGCCTCTCTCTCTAACTGCTTCCCTCTGTATGTCTCCGTCTTTGTCTCTTTCTTTCGCTTCGTCGCTTTGTCTGTCTCTTTCTCTTTGTCTTTTTGTTTCTCTGTCTTTCTGTCTCTCTGTCTGTCTGTCTGTCTGTCTCTCTGTCTGTCTGTCTCTTAGTCTCTAAGTCTCTCTATTTCTGTATTTGTCTCTTTCTTTCTGTCTCTCTCTGTCTCTTTGTCTCTGTCTTGTCCTCAGCAACAATAATAATAACAAACCCAGAGCAATAATAAATAAAATAAGCAGTGTACACTCGAGGTTTGGGGCTTTATACGCATGCATGCATTTGTGTTTTTCTTCTTAGACTGTCTCTGCATCCAGCGAGTAGAAAGCTGCTCTTGTGAGTATACATTGTCTATTTTATTTATTATTATTTTCTACTTGTGTTTTTCTTCTTAGGTGCATTAGCTGCAAGCTGCTGAGGGATAAGCTCTTTGCTATGCTGCTTGCTGCTGCTTGCTGCTGCTTGCTGCTGCTTGCTGCTGCAGCACAGAGGAGAAAAATCGTTTGTCTTTTCTGTCTCTTGTTCAGGATACCAGAGGACAGGAGACAGAAGTTGCTGCAGCTGCTTGTTTCTTTTCTATTTTCCACCATAATATATATATATATATATATATATATAT